TTTTTGTATTTTATATTACGGGTAGTTAATTTATTAACGAGTTAATATTTTATTATATATAAGATTATATAGCTATTTTTAAATTCGCCTCTTCCTCTTTTTTTATTTCTTTTTTAGTTTATAGTAATAGACTAGACGAGGGCTAACTTTATTTTCTTTTATTTACGTATCTTTATTATTTAGTCTATTAGCTTAATAAAGCTAAAACTTTAGTTTACCGCTTTTAAAACGACTTCTTAAAATATCTATTTTAATATTAAAACTATTATAGTCTACTTCGAAGGCCCTAATAAAGTCCTAATTAAGAATATTTTTATAGAGCTCCTAGCTATAAGACCCGTCTAACTATTATAAAAAAAATAAGTTCTTATACTATCTTCTTAATATATAATCTACTATAAACGTCTCTTTATTTTAAAGACCGTTTAGTATAGAGGACATTTCTTTTATTATAAATCTAACGTCTAGGAATTCGCTTTTTAAATTTTTAGGACTATATAATAAATAGTCTAGTACAAAGTTTAATAAAATTTTTAGAATATTAGGTCTAATTTCTAACTCTTTAAATATATATATAGATATAGAAGCACGTATACTAGTTATAGGCTCGCTCGGATAAATAATAATACGAACTTTATAATACCGAGTTTCTTTATATAGCATTTCGGTCGGGACGTTTATAAAGGTACGTTTTAATAATACTATAGAAAATAGATATAATATTAAATATCGATCTATAGCCTCTTTATTAAAAATAAACCAATTCTAAATAAAAAGAGGTATAAGTAAGAGCGGGAACTCTATATACAAGTCTATAAAGTTATTTAACGAAGTTACTATACTTAAATCCGCTAAAAATATATAAAACTCTACTTCGGCTTTATTACTTATTCTAGAATACTAAGTAATAAAGCCTTTAATAATAAGCATATTATTAAAAAATATATCTATAGGTTTAATTTCATTTTCGTTATAAGTATACTTAGTCTAACTCGACTTAGCGGCTAAGTTATTATTTAATAACTCGAAAAACGGGCTCTTTAGCTTCTACCGCTTTTTTTAAAAAAAAACTAACCTAAATCTTATAAAAATTAATAAAGTAATAGTTAAGAGATTCTTTATCCTATAAAGACTCGTTATAAAATAAAAAAAACGCCGGATACCTTTTACCGAGCTCCTCGATTTTAATATACTAAATAACGTCCGTATTTTATATTTAATTTCGGAATCGGTTAATAGGATCCTTTTAATCTATAGCAAAACACTAAGGATAGTTAATAAAATAGAGAAGCGTCCGCCGCTACTCTTATAATTTATATAGTTTTAAAATAGGTTTTAAATAAATAGAATAGTACTCGCTCTATTTATTTCCTAAAATAAACTACTAAAAGCAAAAAAAGTAGTATTATAAAGAAGTCTATAGGACTTATCGCTTAATAGCTAATTACTTCCTATAGTATTAATATATATAATTACTTTAACGCCCCGGCTCGCTATCTATATTTAGTTAACTAAATTATAAAGATTAAATATCTTCTTATAAATTCTTTATACTAATATTATAAAAGCGGCATTAGCCCTCAATTAATCCTTCTCTAGGGTAATATAAAATAGTAAAATCTTTTAAAGCGAGTATAAAGAGGTCTTAAATAGCCTCTTTTATATATTCTTTACCTAAAACTATTACTTTTATAGTTCGACCTAGTTTAGGGATAAAGGTAATAAAATAGTTAATATTATTATCTAAACAACTCGGCTCGACCTTTCTTTTAATTAAGGTCTTTTAATCTCGGCACTTATAGACCTAAAGTTAATAATATTTTATAAAAGCCTTAGTCTTAAATCGGCGCTAAAGGCTTCGTAACGACTTAGTAAAGTTAGTTTTAGTAATAGCCTTATCTATTATTAAAATCTTCTATTTTAATATTATAACCTCCTCTCTTTTATATAAGTCCTTTTCTATTTTAGCAGGTAAAGTCGTTAGCGCGCTTACTTCGTAAAACTTCTTAAAGCCCTAAAAATAATCGTTTATAATATAATCTACTTTCTTACCTAAAAAAGCGCTTAAACCGTCTATTAAAAAGTAATCGGCTATATAGCTAGCTCTAAAAATTTTTAGGTCCGACTAGTTAATATATTACAATCTTTCGACCTTAATATATTACTCTATATTTAGTTAACTAAAGTATTAAAAATAACTATTAAATATACTTACTATTAATTTATTTTCTTAAAAAGCAACGTATCTAGTATATTAAAAAAGTAATACCAACGTAGTTTATTAATTTTAATAAAAATTAAAAGTCCTTATAAAAAACTATTAAAATTAAAAGTTTTTTAAGATCTATTCCGTCCCGAGCAAAGCCCTAGATAATCGGGAAATTAAAAATATCTTCCTTTCATTAAAAAATATAAAAAGCATCGCCACTTAATATATCCTAATCCTATAGATCTTTTAAGCTCTCGTATTTAAAAAGAGCTCGATCTATTAACGCTAGGACTACTAATAGCGCTATTATATTATATTATAAAACGGGGTAATCCTATCTAGGGGTTCTAAATCTATTAAATAAATTAACTATCTATCTAACTCTAACTCTCGCACTAAAATTATATACTTTAAATTTTCTGAGTTACAATTATTCTTTACGAATTTCTAATTAAATCGCGAGAAATAATAATAGCTATCACTAATTAATCATCGTATTTAAATAATCTCAATATCCTATAGTCTCTAAGCTTTTAAAAACTAATAAAGAGGGGGATCTAACTTTATAAAACAATTTAATAATAAAAAGAGTACCTACTCTTCCCCTACTCGCTACGTAAAGTATTAAAAAAAGATAGTTTTATATTCTAACTCTTTCGTTAAGAACGGATAAATCTATCTAAATTACCTAAATAACTTTATTAAAAACTATAGGTCTAAGATTATACTTTTATTTTTTAATATCTTTAAAAATTCCGTCTTTTATAAAAACATTTTTTATTTACTACTATATAATTAGCTTTAAAAAAGATAAAGCACTACTTAAAAAGGAGGCTTATATAGTAAACTTTACTATTTTATTCTTTATCCACCTCCGTTTTTATAACGAAGCTAAATACTTAGAAAAAATCCTCCGCTCTTATAACTATCGACTTAACTAATAATCTTCTATTTTTTATAATCTTACCGTTATTAAAGTTAATATAAAAATAAAAAAAGTCCTTAGTTTCGGCTAAAGTAAATATAAAAGCGTATAGTTATAATACGTACTCGCAGGTAGTTCTAAAATCGGGCGCTATTACTCCCGATTTAATTACTTTATTATAAAGCCTATCCTAGTACTACCTAAGTATAATAAAAACTCTTATTAATTATATAAAGTTATAAACGTTATCTTATATACTAAACTTATATAACGTATCGGTCTAGAATAGTACTATATATAGTAGTTTTTTTCTAGCTTTATAAATATAAAAGATCGACCTTAACGGGATTAAGCTTTTAAAAGAAATTACATAATATAATATACTTTTTAACTATATAATATATATAATATACCCTAAGTACGCGCTTAACTTAATATAATAATTTTAATATAAAGACCGCTATATAATTTAGGATAAGTAAATTACCCTTTATATAGCGGTAGTAGCTAAAAAGGTCGACTATAAAGGTCGGCTATAAAGGTTAAAAGCAGCCTTTTTTAATTATAAAGGTTCTAAACTTTAATAGCAATATAGAGGTTTTTAAAAAAAGGGCTAAAAGGGCCAATATTTAACTATTTATACTAAAGCTTATAAAAAAATTTTTATTTTTATTACTTCTTATATTACTTATAAACTACTCTCAATTTAAACTAAATAAACTACTAAATAAACCTATTAATATATAAACTACTAGTCTAATAATACCCCTCGATAAGTCTCCCCCTCTAGGGCTTAATATATTCTTAAGCCCCCTCGACGCCCTAACTATTATAATTAATATAAATATATTAAAAAAGTAGCACAGTACTCTTTAATAATATAAAATCTAGCTAGGTAATAATATAAATACTATAAATAGCTAGGTTAATATAGACGCTAAAATCTAATATATCGATATTAGTTTAAAAATTATATTTTATAAAACTAATAACCCTTTAAATACGAGCTATATTATAAATATAAAGGATTATATAAAAGGTCCCTTAACTTTTAATAAAAAAGAGTATATTATACTAAACCTAGCCGCCTACGCAGGCTAGTACTAGGAGGTTTTATATACGTTAAAGTAAATAAAGCTCGCTTTCTAAATAGCTAGAAGTAGTAGAAGGTCGGGAGCTATTAATAAAAGGAAGAAAATAATCGAGTCGGTTAACTATTTTAATTAGTAATTAGGTTTAGAGCGCAATATACCCAGTTTTCCCTAATACGTAATACATAGTACGGCCCCGGCGGATTGCTCCGTCAGGGGGGAATAGTACCATATATTACTACGGTATTCGGGCCGTACCTCTCTAGCTTAATTTAATTATCTCGCTTTTAATAAACCCCTCTCTTATATCCCTTAGCCTTAGCCGCCGCGATAATCTCTCCCGGGGTTTAGCGTATTAAAAGCAATCTAATAAAAATAAAAACTCTTATAAAAATAAATAGCGATAGCAACTAGAATATAATAGCGCTTACTTTAAAAATATCTATATAATCGAGTTATAGGCCGCCTAGTTATTAAATATCTACTTATAATCTCTTTTATTCGCTTCTCTATCGTTCTCTATTAGAAACAAAAATAGTAATTAACGAATTATATTTATCTATAAAGTTATATACGTACCCCTCAATATACTTAACGCTAGGCGCATAGCGCTTATATTAATAAGCTAATAATAAGCGCCGGCCTAGATTATATAAATAATCACCTAGCTTACCTAGCTTACCTAACTTACCTCTAATATCGTATAAGAATATATAAAGCGGCTAGGTAAAGGTGAGCAGCGGAGTAAAGCGATTTCACCTAAATCACTTAGTTAGGTGCCACGAGTCTTTTCAGGACCTCTTCCAAAGTCCACAGAGATATTGTGGAACTAATGCAATTAAACTAATGCTAAGAAGAACTCTACTAAGCCCTCAACAGATGTAGCAGGGATTTCAGGCCCTTCTGGATACAGAAATCGGATTACAGGTTTCAGAAATCCTGAGCTGAATTCTGCTAGCTGAGTTGTCTTATGAAAGTTGACCATTAATAAGACTTTGTGATAGCTCGAGTTTGTCATGACTGAGTTATTTTGCGAAGTCGACTCCCAAGACTTTTATGCTGACACATGTAGATCCGTCCTGTTTTCCCAAGCCACTCAATCATCCATTCCATACTGTTGTTCCATTGCGGCCACCACAGCTTCCAAGCATTCCTGCTTCCGATAATTTTCCAGACCCGGCCAGCCATGCTCATGATAGATAACTTGTAATTTTTCCACCAAGCCGTCCGAGCCTGGTCTAAGATACGCGTATACATCAATGACAGATAGTGGGCTGGTGGGGATAAAGTTCAGTTTTCGAAATTGATCCTTGAGAACTTCGAAGAAACCATTCACCGTCCAGCGAGTGGCATCGCCACGCCAGTCGGCCTCGTTTTCTGGAGCCCACTCGTGAGGGTCGTCGAAAACTCGTAGATGGTCGTAGGAAGGGTTGTTTGAGATACCGTCTGGACATTCTGGCCAGTATATTACGCCGAGCTCTGTATCCAAGAGGAAAACAGGATTTTCGCGGCCACCCTTTGTGAGACCAATCACGTGGGAGGGTGCGTTGTCGCAGATTTCGGAGCCTTCCGACATGATTTTCAAATCCTGGCCATCCATTCCGCGTTCGACACGGGCTCCTGTGTGCTGCCAATCGGCGAAACGGCACCAAGGAGCGCCCTGAGCCTGATTGAAGGGATTGCTCGGGACACGAATGTAGGGTAGATGGCGTAGAAGACATATGACCTCATCTGTTTTTCTCATGTCTTTCAAAGTTTCTGTTGTAATTGTAGGCCAACCTTCTTCTGGAGGATAAAGGATGTCGTCTTCGTGGACATACATCGTACTTAAGAAGCTGTAATAGTCGCGGATTGACGCTATGCACTCTTCGCGGGAGTATTTACATTCGGCGAGTTCGGGCATCTTTGCAATTCTGAAAAAGATGTCGGCCTGGGGCAAGTAAGTTGTGTTTGAGAGTGAGAGATAAAACTTTGGAGGCAGGCATGAGCTCGCTTAAATAATTCAAGGCATGACCTACTAGTGGGACATCAAGTGACACCTTGGCAAGTTAGCATGATGTCAGACTTTAGTTTTCGAGTGTCACAGCTAAGTGAAGACCCAAAGCACGGCAGAACCTTGTGGTCTGACTGGCTGAGAGGAGATGCACAAAGTTTACCTTCCATAACACCCCGGGGGACCGCATCAATTCTAAAAGGTCATCTTACTAGCCAATATCTGTAGCCTCCAAGGCAACGAGGGTTCGAAGATTTTCTGATTCTGCGATCAGTTTCTAGCCTATAGACGAGAAGACCTAGTTAGGCAACATATAGCATCATGTTAGCTAAGGGGTGGAATTCGCGCTCAGGTGAATAGGTAGATCATCTGATTTACGTCATGAGATCTTTCGACTCCAAGCTATCAAACCTTGCTGTAAAATGAAGCTCATATGGAACGTCTCGGAAAACCTCTCAAGGTGTTTCGTGCCATTCTCCACTGATGGTCTGTAGACATCCTGTATAACGGAATGTAATGGCTTTTGAGAACCTTGAAATACTTACCAGGGTGCCAAGCCCCATAAGCTTCAACCAACATTAACCCAAAGAGTTTCTCAACCACATTTGATGTGATAATCTAGCTCTCACGGTCGTATATTCAAGTTTAAGATTCTACTTCGAACCGAAAAGGGCAGATTGCAGAACTTCTTTAAAAGGCCCAAAGGCATGAATTTCCCTGGAAACATTTCTTCATCAGGCGAAATCATTGACTGTGAGAACGAACATTGACTATGAAACAGAATCTGACTATGTAATTATCACTGCCACGCATAAGCTACCTAGATACTAACACTTATGTCTCATACCAAGGCAATCGACTAACCTCTATAACCAGATCAACAATGAAATTAGTTTATTTTCTTTCATGGATAGCAGTAGCTGCTCCGCATCCTTCGCTCGACAAGGCCACACGAGTTGACGTCCTACACAATGTCACCGTCAACGTCGCAGCACCACTGGGAATCGATGCTACCCCTTCTAGCCAACAAATCGAATGTCCTATACTTTGTGCTAACCACACAAACACGAACACATGGACAGAATATGGATCGATTGACCACCTACGTCGCTGCCAGGAACCCATGCTTATTGCACCATTGTTTCCCGACGCTCTTGCCAACCTAACTTCTACTACTACCGTCTACGGCTGCTCGCTCAATTCCAGTCGTCCAGTCATAGACTGGACAAAAGAGTCACTCGCGAAGAGCTCTCAATTTAGTATTCGGCAACCAGATGGCATGTACTCCGCATCCTGTGAGTCTACCGGCCAAGAGGTCGAGAGCAAAGTCATGGTAGTTCGAGGCAACGATGGCAATGACAATTTCAGTAGGTTGGACTTGATGCTCCTAGGCCAGTCAGTAGAGAAAACGCTTGCAGATCCCTCCAACTGCCCTACGAAAACTCTCTTCGCCCAATCTAGAAGCATGATAGTGAGTATCTATAGCGGAGGCTCCTTGGCAAAGTCAACAATAACATCTGCATGGAATGCAATCTCGTATCTGCCAATCCTCGGCCATCCGACTCAGATGCTCGTCGAGATTTGCGATGACAGTCGAGGACCTGAAAGGATCTTAGGCATTGCAATTGACATTGTCGAAAACCGCGAGCTGGTTGAAGATTTTACTTTGGGTTGGAGTCAAGGGAAATGTTTCGCGGGCCCAAAAAATGCAACCGTTTTGCCTGGCGTGAAGGTTCATGAGATATCTGATCCTAGCCTCAGACTTTCACGTCCTCAGCTTCCGCGTCCTCAGATTCCTCGTCCTCGGCCTTCACGCCCTCAGCCTCCGCGTCCTCAGCCTCCGCGTTCTCAGCCTAAGCGTCCTGGGCCACCTCAACATCAGCCTAAGCGCCCTCGGCCGCCTCAACATCAGCCTCCGCATCCTGAGCCTACCTTCCAACGTCGCGAATTGCAACGATGTATATCAGGCGAAGATCGCACTTTGAATACTGGCAATCTCTGCGAGTTTTCTTGCGAATACGGCTTCTGCCTAGAATCCTTGTGCGAGTGCACCGCCCGAGGTATTCCATCACAGGTTCCGCCTGAGAAAGAAGTCGATGTCGTCGCCTGGGACGATACGAACACGGATCTTAATATTCTTTGCAAGTTTGCCTGCAAGTACGACCATTGTCCACAAGATATCTGCACGAGCCGTATCGATGGACCAGATACGAGTGACATCGACATCGTGGGGACCGACCATGAGGACCCTCTCGACTATGTCAGGCGCGCCAAGAAAAGCAATGCGAAGAATTGCAATATATACAAAGAATCTCGACACTGGGACTTCCAAAAGACAAGTTGCGATTCCATCTGCAAGCCAGAAATTGACCAAGCCAAGAAAGAAGGCAAAATGTATAATGCGTTCTGCCTGGGCTTTTGGCCAATCGACAAACCTATCCCTTGGCAGAAGATGGGCCCAGATACGACAATTGCTGGAGGGACATGTGAATGCAACAACCCTCTGGTAAACGAATTTGCAGATATCGTCTTGGATGGCATGCCACAGATGGCTCAGGTAAGCGTTACTACACCATAATCAATCAGAGCAACATAAAGTAAAGATGAAACTCACAACCAACATTACAGATTTCATGCTATATTATGATGTCAACGTTGAAACTAGTGCTGGAGATTGGTGTAGAATTCATTCCTGTGGTAGGCAAGCCAATTAGCGCTGGTCTGGGTATGCCCTTGCCCTTCTCTCATTATCTCTCTGCACCTCCCGGTGCCTTTCCCATCTCCTATTCCCCTCTTATGAATCCGAAGCTTATAAATCTGGTTAGAAATCGCCAATACGGCTGCTCAAATGGCAGCATATCTTTATCCCAAGGAAGAAGACCCTGAAGGTGCTTTCTCTTGGTGGCTTCAGCCATGTGGCGGAACAAACTTGGTTCCGGAAGACATCAAAAAAGTATACGACATATTGAGCAACTCGCCTGCTGGAAGAGACCGATTCGAGAAGAAGAAGAAATCAGATAACCTCAAACAAGGTAGTGGCAAAAAGGGTGACGACAATAACCCCACTGATAGAAAGATCCAAAAGGGGCGGAAGTGCAGGGTTCCACCAGCAAAATCAACCATGCGACTTGGGGCTGCTAAAAACATATTGAGGATACAATCTTGCGTCAACGATGCGACAAGGAAGAATGATTTAGTTGTGACATCGGTTGTCTACGCACCCAACGCCAAGCCGACTGTTGTGGAGAGAGAATGTAGCCAAAAATGGTCTCAAGCTTGCTTCCATTATAGTTCGGCTATCAAGGTCAATCCGCAATGGGCTACTTTAACTTGTCCGCCTGAAGCCGCGGCAACGGCGTGGCGCTTAGATGCAGAAGCTGTGCCAGCCTTCCAGAAGCAACATAAAGGCGATAGATGGCTGGATGAAGTCAAATCGAACCCTAATAAGGTAGATTGCGACAAAGACGAATACCCACCTGCATATCTTATAGGACCACAGGACCCAGCCCGCCTCAATTCTGGTAAAAGTGCACAGGGACAACTAATTCGTCTAATCCCAGGAGGAATGAATCGAGGAGCAGGACATATGTGGAAAGGAATATGTCTTGGTGCCGCCATCGAAGACATGAAGGACTCCGAATTCAAGGCCAAAGTCGACGCTGATCCCAACAAGAAGACCGTCATACAAGGCGGCGTGACAAGAACTCAGGCCGCTATCACGGCTACAATTCGGCCAGAATTTACCATTAACAAATGGGGGCATGCTGCCAACCCACCGGCGAACGATGGTCTGGAGCTCAATACTTGTTGGCCAAACAATATTGCTGCGGGCGACCCAGGCTTTGCCTTGTTAACATTTGATCCATACTACAACACCCACCCGCGACTATACAATTACAGTTTACCATATGTTAAAGGTTCGAATGGTTCCTGAAACCAGTTCAGACTGATAATCTCGACATGGAAGAGCATGGGCATTGAAAAGACGAATCATTTCCCAGTACGCACATCATGTGCACGCGAATTGGCATATTTAGTGCCTAGTTTACCTTTTGATACGAAGGGTTGGTGACTTAGTTACTTTTGTGGCCTTGTTATGGAGCAATTTTGTTTTATCGAATAGTTGTTTTGCGATTTGGAAATTGTTTCGATGCCCGATCATCTGCATCTAGTAGTTTAGATAGAGTACTAAAATTATACAAGCTCTAGGGGCTCAGTTAAATCGATACAAACAACTTTTGTAAGTGATGATAAGAATGCTGATCTATTGACTACTTACTTTAGGTGCTTTCTGCAGATCACCACGATGGATAATTAACCCATTGCAAATTGGAATGTTCATTACATGTGATAGTTGCGAGAGCCGGATTAAATTGGTCGCCTCTCAGTCAGCCAGTCTTGTCAGGAAATCATTTTGAATCCATATCATCCCATGAAGACAAGAGCTGTATGGTACAACGAATCCGAATCGCACCAGCAGCATTATCAATTTACCCTTGCCCTGCAGTATGCATGTCTGATTTGTAGTCCTCCCAAATATACAAAACCAAGAAGCTATCATATGCGATAGAAAAGCTAAATAATATTCTCGCAAGACCAGGGAGATGAAAAGGTTTCGTGCGAGAGTCAAGGCAGAATGGTTGATGGATCACAGGCAGTTCTCCGGCATTGAAGCTGGGTACTTATGCATGCGAAAGATGTTGAATTGCCCACGAGAAATTTCTGTCTACAAGACCGTGATCGAATTTTCCAGAGATCTAGGCCCACTCCACCGTTGACGCCTTGACGGGTAGATTTGAATAGGTGGGTAGCTAGATGCGATATCGATATTTTGGCGGATAGACACGATGCTTAAAATGGGTAAACAGGCACTTCCTTATAATAGTACCCTGCCTATGTACGGAGGACAGTATGCGCCCTGTTCATTTAATGTACAAACCATTAGGCCCGTTGCAAAAATTACAGTTGTCCTCCAACGGTAGGTGGGTCAGCTGGGGAAATTTTTAAAGATCTGATACTTGATACCTCCCAACACCCGATCCGAGTTCATTGAGGCTGAAGAGGGGTGAGGACGATGACATAGTGCCGACTAGGCCTCCTCAGGGTAACCCGGCCGAGACAAGGAGGATGCGGGGTGACCAATCCGGTTCTTTACCGCGCTGGCACCGGCGAGGTAAGTGGGTCGGGCGGATCCGGCGGACCGCGCTCGAGACACGAATAGTACGCCTTCACACGACCCCGGCAAATTTTCCTTATCTGGCCCACGCGGAGGCAGTCCATTCGACATTCCAACTCCGTGTCAACTGTCCATGCAAAGATCAGTCTATCACATCTAACACACAAGCATTCGCTTCTTCTGCTGCCCATTCCATTGGGATTGGTCTAGAACTTTGCCTCATTCGCTCTCCCCTTCTATCGGAGGACGGTTCAACTTTCGGGCTTTCTTGGCGCTTTGTCTTTCCCCTCTCTCTCCCTCCCTTCGTCACTCACTCACTTCAACGGGCCCGGCCGGCTCTCTCAGCCATGTCAACGAAACCCCGCCGTACCCTTGCGGGGCCAATCTTCCGCGTCCGTACGGGGTGCCTGACGTGCCGCGGTCGCAAGAAGAAGTGCGACGAGACCAAGCCGCGGTGTCGCGGTTGTGAGCGGAACCGCCTAGAGTGCCGCTGGCCCCCAACATCCTCATCCCAGGCCACCGCCGCTGCCTCTTCCTCTCAAGCTACCCAGAGCAGCGGCACCTCGCGCTCACCCCGCGAGGTAGGAAATTCGCCAGAGAGCACGCGGCAGGACGATGTTCAGCCTACTGCTCCTTCACCATCAGGGTCCACGGTGGCATCCCAGAGTCCCCAGCATCTCCCAGATCGTTCAGTCAACTTCTCTTTTGCATCACATATCCAATCCTCGGAATCACCAAGTGCAGCCACAACAGACTCGAGTCCAAGTCCGGCAACCCAGATCGTCACGACGGACCAGAGCGGCGGAATCATCATCCCTCCCCAGACGCCAGAAGAGCACACAACGACTGCTATCGGACTTCAAGACCCTTCCGCCTTTTCCGTCTTTAACACGGAAGACCCGGACGATGGCGAGACTGCGGATCAGATGGTGCACTCGCCAGTTCAACCAATGTCGATATTCAGGGATCACCATGTGCCGAGGTCGATGAACCTCCTGGCTGGCAATCAGGATAGCAACTCACTCGAGCTTCTCAGTCATTACCTTAGCGCGACATCGCTCAGTATGGCCAATGGATCCACGGCAGACAACCCTTTCACCGCGCAGTTGATTCCTTTAGCGTTCAGCAGCGATCTCGTCTTACAACTACTTCTTACGCAGAGTGCCGTCCACCGAGCAGCAAAGTCTCTAGTTCCGACGGACCATATCGCAACCAAATACTACAATCAGTCCCTGCGGCTCTTTCAGCAAAACATCTCGACGTACATGGGCGGACAGCATGGTGAAGAAACGCTGATCCTGGGGATTGGTGCCCTGATTCTGTGCTTGGTTGAGGTATGTTGCACAATCACGCTCGCAATTGAGTTCACCGTGATATTGATACCCCTTGTAGACTGCCAAAGGTGACGTGAATGGAACCATCTTCGACCATCTCATGGCAGCCCAGTCCTTGATCTTGCCCTTCTTATCTGCGAATAACACCTTTCTACACAAGACTTTGAAAGACTTCTTGACCGAATACTACATCTACACGGCGACCGTCAGCATGATATCCATAGATGCAAGACTTGGTGATCAACTATTCCTCAGCAACGATCTCATTCTCCTCGCCACTGAGCTCGTGGCATCCTCTTACATAGGTAGTCTATGCGGATGCTGGCTAGATCTAATCCTGCTGGTGCCTTCGATCTTCGACCTGGGACGGCGGATAATGAGCCACATGGACGAGCCGGATTGGCGCCCATCAGCCGATGACTTTATTCTGTTCTCACAACTACAAAGCCAGATACTCAATTGGCAGCCAAACCCCATGGTGACTGAGAATGTTGCCTTGGCTGGATATATATACCAGAAAGCCTTGTTGCTCTATCTGCACACGGCACTACATACACTCTCTCGAGAAGAGCACGGCCTCCAGGCATTGGCTATCCAAAACGCCCTCAGCGGAGCTCTCTCACATCTAGCACAACTAGATCCTAGCGTCCGCATCAACACTAGTTTATGCTGGCCCATCACCATCATCGGTTCGTGCGTTACAGATAAGGGACAGCAAGAATTCTTACATGAGAGGTTGGGCCACATGTTTGCCACCATTGGTCTGGGCAACATCCGACAAACTTCAGTTGTGCTGCAGCATCTGTGGGACCACAACGAGGTCATGCCGGCGGATATTGGAGCAGGCCCTTGGCAGGTTTGTCGGGTCATGAACGAAAATCAGATTTGGATTTCATTTGCATAGATGGACAGGGGACATGATCGATATGAATAGCGGCGGTGTTTACGGGGCCAGCGAGCGTGCGAACGAACGAAAGATGGCGGCGACTGGCGGAACCAGAGAACATCTTTCGATCAACATGTGTGTACATTTATAGACAGGTCTCATCAGGAGCGGGCGAATATGATACCATGAATCTTTTCTTTACACTAAGGGATGAGGGACTAAACCTTCCATTATTCGATTACAGTGTCCAACTTTTCACCATTACCACCCCTTCCACGGAATCCAGGTATCTACCACAACATCATTCTCATCTACAACGAAGTAAACATAGAAGGCCGCAGCAGTGATGCAAGCATGCTGGACATTGAGGAACACCTTGTCGCCAACATCGAAATTCGCTTCCACATCTCTGCGCTCCGGTTCAGCAGTCTTTGAACCCGGTGTCTGAACTTCACCCAGGATACCGTGTTCCTGAGACATTCGGACAACAGCCCAGTCGGGCTTGCCGACAACCTTGCCGTAGCCTGGGTCCGGGCCGGCTTCCTTTGACAAGGCGATTGTCCCAGCGTTGATGAGAGCCTCGTTGCGCTCCGGGTACACGCTGCAGACTTCGGAGAGGACGCGGATGGCCTGGTCTTCGGCTCCGATGACGCTGGTTGCGACCTGTTGGAGATCGTTTGTTGGGAAGTTCCCTAAGAAACCTTCGTGTGAGACATGTCTCGTCTTTGCGATCAAGGTCAGCGAGAAGTACATACCGGCGTGCAACTCCAAGGTGACGTTCTCGGGGATCGCTGCCTTAAGAGTGCCGACAACATGGGCCGTCGGCGTAGCCCCCACAGAGAGAGTGAGTTTTCTGTCACCAGTGACCAGCTTCGCAGCGCTCAGGACATTGTTTATTTCGACCGTAAGGAGATCCTCCACTTCTTGTGGTGTCCGGCACCCATAAGAGTGGCCTGCATGGCAGTAGAAGCCCTTGAGAGTGACTGCTGATGAGCCGTTGACGCGTTGAATCAACTTTGTGAGACGATCGCTGCCTAGGGGAAGACCGGCGCGCTTGCTACCCACATCGAGCTTGATGTAGATGTCCCAGGGTTTGATTGTGCTTTTCGTGTTCTTGGCGGCAAATGTCTCTACTATTGTGAGCTGCTTCTCATGGTCGATCATGAGCTGGACGTTGGTGGACTTTCGTAGGTCCTCCAGCAGAGGGATGGTGCTTGCTGGGGGCGGCAGCCCATACAGAACCTAACAGAAAATGTCTCAGTTCTGCGAGTCCTTGTGTAATATTACTGGCGAATCATAACAAACCTCCTCGAGAATGCCCTCTTCTGCCAATGGCAATAATCCACGGATTTCTGACAGTGTTGATGCCACAACTCTCTTGTACTTGCCATTGCCCAGCATCAACCGCGTGACTTCCAGACTCTGCGAGTCAGTTAGTCATGACCTCAAATGTGTCGGAGTGGGAAATACGTCAATTTCCTACCTTGAGGGTCTTAACATGAGGTCTAAGTGTGACTCCGGCCTTTCCAACATCCTGATGCAGCCTCTCGATATTCTTCTTTATGGTTGGCAAGCTAAGAACAAAAGAGGGCGTAGGTAGGTCAGTGACTTTGGAGCCAATGAAGGAGCGGTGGTTCTGTAAAGAGTAGTCCATGGTGCCTGTCTACCGTATGGAAGTATGCGTGCTGCAACGTTATGCTTCTAGAAAGACTGCCAGCGACTGAAGAGACAGCATGCTTTTCTCCAAACCTTGTCACTTTTCCGCGGACAAGTCGGAGTCGACTTGCTGACTCTTCAGGGAGGGCGGCCGAGAGGGGAGGAATGAGTGCGACCGAGATAGCCGAAAGCGGCGCTGGATAGCTGTGGGGCATCTCCCCGCTCCGGCGCCGGCGAGGATTCAGCGCGGAAAACGTCTTTATTGGCAGAGTTGCCCGTTTCCCCTTCATCGCTTATCGTCGGTTGCTCGATGCCGGAGAAATTGACCGGCGTTGCATCAACACATGAACCAATTAGTTGATAAGTTCCTCAAGTCACAAGTTATAATACGGTATTGTAGACACCGATTATCGTCGTCTCAGAGATGTGGCGCACCGTTGTCGTCAGGCAAGGCTACCATACTACTGAGATCCCTTCAGTCTACTAACTTGGCCGTGGCAACCAGCTGCCTCAGAAGAAAAAAGGGAATAATCCGAAGAAACGACAACTTTCAACGAAGTCTATTCCTTTCGCGGCTTCAGCTGAACAACAAACCGTTCGTTGTAGGCAATACCCCCGACAACCACAAACTCGCCCTCCTCCTTCACATCAAAGTCAAACTGCCGAAAAACCTCCGGGAGCAACTTGTACAACTCCATGATGGCAAGGTCTTTGCCTAGACAGACTCTAGGCCCAACGCCAAACACAAAGCAGAAGCATCCATCTCGCTAATATGCTCCTTGGAATTCCCCTCGTCCTCAAGCCACCGCTCTGGTCGATATGCCTCTGGGTCCGGGGCATACAGATGAGGGTCTCGTTGAACGACGTACGAATTGCTCGTGATTTCTGTGCCAGCGGGTACCCAGGTACCGTCCACGACTTTACCATCCGGGGACGGCGCCACTCTGCCGAATAAGTTCGTCGCGGGCGGGTGAAGTCTCAGAGATTCCTTGATACAAGCCACAAAGTAGGGCAAGTGTGCCCTCGTCTCTTCGAATTGGATGGGCGTGCTGAGAAGTTTGGCGTCCGAGGCAGCTGCTAGTTCGGCTCGCACACGTGCGAACACGGACGGATGGGTCAGAAGGAATCGGATGGTACTGCCGAGCGCCGTTCCGGTTGTGTCTGCGCCGGCTTGAATGAGCAGCGTTACGTGCGCGCGCTTCTGCATCGCCGTCAATGGCTTTCCGTCCATCCGTGCCTCGAGGCACCTATAACCAGGTCAGTATTGCGCATTGATGACACGCAGAGGTTTGATGTGACGAACAGTTGC